CGCATCAGGATTTGGTAGTATCCGTCTACCAAATCCAGCGCACTGTACAGTACGCTCCCGGCCATGTTGTTCAACAACACATCCTTTCGTGGGATCGGTGTTTGGGCCGGCACCGCTGCGTTGTTCAGCTTGTTATAAGCGTGAACCAGACGCCACTTTCCGTTCGGCTTCCGAGCGCAGAAAGTCGGCGTCGAGTGCGGGGATTTCGATTCCCGCACCATGCCTGCCTTCGCTTTCGCGGCGAAGAAGGCATCAATGACCTCGCACTGTTCGCGCGGGAGAGGCCATTGCCTCGTGACACAATACTTTGTGCCGGGCACGAGATCAATCTCGTGCCGTACGCCTCGATCCGGTGGGAGTTGGGTCGGTGGGTGTTTGTTCACCACGTCCGCATACTCCGTCACCAAAGGATACACCGGGTCCTTGGGGCTCTTGAGAATCTCAGAACCCAAGCGCGCTTGAAGCTGCTTGTTCATGTCTTCCAGGACGTTCTCGTCCAAGACAGAGGAGGAGTTCAGCTCCTCCTGAGTGGTCTCAGGTCTCATGAGTACCATCTCAGCAATCGCTCCAGCCTTGAGGTTGGCCAGGAAAGACTCAGCCGTCATTTCCTCGAGGTTCAGTATCTCCGCAACCTCTGGCAACGGTTCCAAGTGGACACCAGATGCCTTGACGGGTAAACCTGTATCGCCATCGAAGAAGTGATAACACTCTTCCACCGGCCTTGTCGTAGGAGCCCGGGCCCTGGACTCCGAGTCGCTTGAAGCGACGTCGATCGGAACGAAGTTTGGATCCGACTTGAGGCGGCGGCGGCGTCTTTGCCGACGGCGTCTGTGACGGGGAGCTTTGCTGCCCACGTCTAGGGATGTCGTCTCTACGACATACGAGGCACTCGTGGCCTCGTGTGATACTGTTGTACCCACACAGGAAGCGTGTTCAACGCCTTTCTCTTCAGTTAGGGTCTGGGCGACCGCGTGTGGCACTGTGTTACCCACACAGGAAGCGTGTTCAACGCCTTCCTCTTCAGTTAGGTCTGGGTGACCGCGTGTGGCACTGTGTTACCCACACAGGAAGCGTATCTGACGTCTTCCTCTTCAGTTAAGGACTGGGCGACCGTGAGTGGAACTCTGTTACCCACTCTGAACACGCTGTTCTCAGTGTTCACGACAGCTGCAGCTGTCTGCGGAACTAAGTTACCCGCCTGTGGACCTAAGTTACCCACTTGGCCGACGCCTCTTCTGGGTGCGGCCACCATCAAAACATCCTTGGAGTCGTCATATACGTCGACGACTCCCAAGCATCTGCCGGATGCTTTGGTACCCTGGCCAGAGGTTCCGAAAATGTTATTTTTATTGAGACTGGCAAAACAGCAATAAAAATAATTTTTAGTGCTTGGAGCACCACGGGTGCAAAAATTATTGGCGTTATTGCATGCAATACACAGTGGGCTGATACTCGTCTAGTTGGTGGGAGCCTCACCACGCACAACCTTCCGGAGTGTGGCAGCGTTCCACTAGGCTCGGTTCAGCGACCAACCATCAAATTGAGAGGGCAAGAGCGCGGCAGATCGATTGAAGATTGCGGTTTAGCTGGACCGCTGGTCCGTAGGGCTCCATCGAGCCCGGTTAAAGGTTATTGCCTGGAGAGAGCGCAGAATAAATTATTTGATTTTGAAATGGGAGCTCGAAAATAAATTATTTTACTGCAAAATAAAAAATATATTTAATTAAAATAACATTTTCGGAACCCCTGACCCTGGCAGCCCTCGCGGGCGCCCCGGGTCCTGACAGAGGTGGGAACATGACTCACCAATGCTCTGTCGGACTGAGCAGGGCGGCTGGCACCGATTGCCTTGCCTCGCCAGG